GGGGGAGAAAGTACGCCCGAACTGCGCCGTGGACCAATACAGGCCCACTTTGAAACATTTTCGCTGTCCGGACAGCACGGTCCGGACGGATGCGGGCGTGTTGATGATCAGCGTTGGAGATGCCCTGATAGAGCAAAGTTTATGCAACACAAATTCTTCCTGCAGTTCCGAAACATTGAAATGTGTATTTTAAACTTCTAGACTAAAATCCAGGAAAAACAGATTGCTGGCTTCTTAGCCACTGGAGAACGTAACCATACTTTAAACATCTTCTTATGCGCATTAGACCCTGAACAAACCAATAGTGTGAGATACATTGCAAGCGTGCATGGTATGAAGAGCTTCTGATTTTTGCAAAGTCTCCAATCTAGCCGAGTGTTTCCCAAAACATGTGCATGAGATTGGTATTTTCTAAAACTGAAATTGACATCATCTTCCATGTCCGTGATTGATTTTACAATAATTCGTATTGGTCTTTGTTTCTCCATCCCTCTAATCTAATCAAACTTGCAAACAAATACACGCCTGTAAATCATCTTGAGGAATGTATTATTTTAAAATAAATAACTAAGTATCATCTCAATTACTAGATGACATGCCATGCAGTTGAGGTAAAAGTGCTAGAAGGATTGGCAGATGAAAGGAATTGAGGGAGATAATAGAGGTGGTTTTCTAAAGTGACTGCTGATGGCACATGAAAGACGACCAGATCAAAACCACTATGGAACCGACAGGAACAGTGTAGAGGATACTAGAGCACCAAATGGTTAGAGGTTTTGAAATCGAAGTTATTTTCATGCCCCCACGCACTTGGCCCCTGCCATGGCTTGTCCAAAACTAGTGGGTAGTTGCAGTATTGCTTAAGGTGGTATGTTGACCGTTGGGTTGGGTGCATATACAAAAGAGTTCGGTGATAGGACCTTGAAAAATAGCACAAAGTAAAATGGGCAACGAGTAACCAAGAAAATATTGCATTAGGATTCTTCAATTTGATGTAGTTTACTTAATTAATTACTGCTCCAAGTCTAATGGTTGACAGTGTATACCTGTCGTTCTGAAGCAATCTTCGCATTTTGTCGATGAGCTGCATTTCGTTTAACTTTGCTTCCTTGGAACCATAGCCAAATTTATCTAGAATATGCTCAAAAAGTTTCTTCACATTAGGATTCCGACCCACTGAAACAAAAGCTCTATGTTGGAATTGGGATTGAAGCTCGTCATACACTGCCTTGGCAAGTGTTGTCTTGCCCAATCCTCCAAATCCGACGATCGAAACTATCTTGAGTTGCGGTTTTGAGACATTCCCATCCCCATCCTTATTAGAGAGCCACCTGATTAGCTTGTTTCTTGGCTCTTTGATGCCAACGAGCTCCTTTGGATCTTTGTATATAGCCAAAATGCGAGGATCAAAGGTAATAGTGTCAGCTACATTAGCCATGACTTCATCAACCTTGCATCTTTCACGTCTATCAGCCACAACCTGAACTTGTTTCTTGATGTCTTTGATAGCGTCTTCAATCGGATTGTGAGTCTTGCCCCACGTGAAGAGGTTGAACATCCTATGCATGAGCCCCATGAAGAGGCCCATGTCAGAGGCATGCCCAATGTGTACCAGGAATCCATCAACAACATCCTCAATGTCATATGACATCTCCCTGACACTGTCAGCCCAGCGCTTGACCTTGTCATCGAGGTAGTCCCGATGTACCTCCGACACCTTGCACAAGGCTAGCTGCATCTCCCTCAGCTCTTCTGATAAAGACTCTATGTCTATCTTCACGCTTATCTCTAGATTGTACTCTTTGTTGAGGAGATCGCCAAGCTTGTGGCGCAGGCTGCCCATGGCCCCGGTTGCAAGATCCACAATTCTGTTGCTCATATTGCTGTGTTGGTTGCCCAAAATACTTGGAGTTGTGTGGAAGCTAAGGCACTCTAGTTGCTTGGGAAATTGTCGTCGTGTATCTTTGTAGCTAATAGAATTGTTGCCCTTGCACGCAGAATAGTGAGGTATTTAGATTAAATAAACTAATTTCTTAAAAGATGCAAGTTGGATTATTTGAAAAAGCTCACCATCGGAACTGCCTCTTCTTGATGAGTTGCATTGATGTTGGGTTTGATCTCGCTAAAAGCATACTCAACAATCTTATTCTTTTTCTTCTAACAACATACACATTTTGTTAAGAAAATAAACGGAGACAAAAAGAGAGAAGATACATATACAAGTGTCAAACCGGTCACCTTGGTGTCATCTCGAATCTTCATATCTCCCCTAGGTTCCTCGGGATCATATACCACAACCGTCAAATTCACCTCATCTAGTCCATCCGGCTCTATAATGAACATGTGTTCAGTGATATCCTCGGCTTTGACCTCCCTGTTGACTTTTGTGCCCTGCACAAGAAACACGTCGGTGTATGGCATACCGTGTGGTGTATTCTCCCGTGCTTGCATTGTTATTTGGATAGCAAACTTGGATTGTGGTGACACAATGCCTTTGTTTGGTTGTGTGCAGTATTGTCGGCTTGGCGTATCGATGTTGAAGGCGTAGTAACCTTTTGTCTTGTTGATTAGCTCAACTATGGATGATATTGACTTATGAAGCTCAAAAGGAAACCGTAGTTCGAGCGGCATAATTCCAAGCATGTCATCCGAGTAAAGGTGTATCTGCGAGAGAAAAGCGAGATACATTATATACTCCATCCATACCATAATTGTAAGTTGTATTGTACTTTCCTTGTGATGCCTATTATAAGTTGGTGATGCATCAAATGTGTTGTATACTCCATCCCTCAACTGAGTGAATGCACACGGTTACATCCTAGAAGGGTGATGTTAAACTCATTGAATTTACGGAGAAGGGCGACGTACGAGAGCATCTCGGCTCACCTATCTTTATGGTGCAGGGCACTCAGATTACTTTCATAGAGCCAGATTCCGAGGAGCAGAACTCTTACCCTAAGACCTTTCAAGACACCCTAGATGCTAGGGACGACACATATGAAACGGTAGACCTACTGCAGATGTTGGCGCCAAACCTGGCAGCGCCGCTTCTTCTTCCACCTCACAATCTCTCTACATACTCTCTTGTTTCTCTTGAACACACAAGCACACATGTGAAAACTGAAGAAAACACACACGCACGCACCCACGCACATAACCAAGAAAGATGACCAGATGCTTTGCCCAGAACACTTCCTGGGTGAACACAAATAGTACATTGTTTCTTCTGCCAACACGGCTGCTTTTCTCATTCCTTTTCTTGACTTAAATAGGCAGTATAAGATAAGGACTCACAGATCTGCTGATCCTAAACTTAAGCCAAGGCCATGCACCCCTGGAATCTCTCCACGATGCAGAAGACTCGGCCACCACACACACACGTACACACCTAACCAGCTAACCCATGCACTAACTAATCCCTAACTACACGCACACGCACAGTACTTGCGCAGCGTCTACTCAACGGCCAGCATACACATGCACATGGCTAGCTAACAAACTCCATCCGTGACTAAATCAACTAACTATGCTGATCCACTACTACTAGCTTGCATGCACACACATGATCTGACCTTTACGTGAGTACACAGGCGCAGCCTAGTGGATCGACACGACTACATGCATGAATGGAAAAAAACAGGAAACAATCTAAACCTAGCACTAATAACAAGATTAGTTCCAACATATTGCAGAAAAAAATTGGAATCCAAAATTCTCACTTAAAATGATACATGCGTCTCTCTGCTCACATTAAATGATGCATGCGTCTTAAACAATGCACTTATTTAACTGAATGGCACAATCTGGCTTACCTGGTCAATGTGCTCATTCATGTTTTCTTCAGTTTCATTGAGAATACAAATTATATCCAATATAAAAGGTCTATTTGATGGTTCTTTTTTCCTGCAGTGTGCCGCAATTTTCAAACATTTAGTTACTTGCTGGTATTGGGACAGCACCGTATCTTTCGGTGATTTATCCCACCTGTGTATCCACCTTCGAAGCACCTGCATTTCCCAAATGACACTTTCTATGTTAATTAGATGACGCTAGCCCGGTAGTGTGTGTCCTCAAAGAGTGCATCGGCTCACCTCATACCACAACATAAATCCATATATATATAACCAAAACTAGAATGTTTTTCTTTCAAGTTTGCGAACATGTATTATTCTACTACTTTGGATCCATTGCAAATGCACGGGCACATTGCTAGTCATATTTAAACAGTCGACACTCAAATGTATTGTGTGTGTGCGCGCGCGTGGAGTAGATGAAGCTTTGACAAAGAGTAGTGGATTTATGTTGTGGTATGAGGTGAGCCGATGC